GCTGAAAGGGTACGGTGTAATTTTTTTCTGCGCATAATATTCAAATTTCTTTTTTTCCAACATATTGAACCCGCTAGAGGGGGGTGAGCATTATACATGGGTGCGCACTTTACTCAAGAAAATACGGTACACAAAACATGTGTGAAGAGACGTGTGTTACCATTTGGACCACATTCCTAACTTGACCTTTACCACCAAATTAAGCATGAACACATGAAAGGACTTGATGACATGGTGAACACTTAAAGCCAATGTATATGAGGCACGTGGAAGTACTTCTCATGCTGTAACAATCCCAGTGATACAACCTGGTATAGACGGCTTTCAGTCCCAGACAAGTGAAGATCTGGGGGGACTAGTTATTTTATCCTCCTATCTAGTTGTACTGTGTGTTTATTATTGCACTGGTGTTAAGACGCATGTACTGAATCAGCCATGTACATCAGTCTGCTGCTGGGCTCACCCTGCGGAAACTGTCCCTATCATGGTAGATGGTCTGCACCAACTCGGGGAGAAATCCCCGCGGTAAGTTGTGAGCCAGGAGAAACGGCAGCAGATTAGACACTCCATTCAGTGACCTGAAACATGTCATCAACATCATCAGTATCACCAACGCATCAGTGTCAGTGTCGTCAGTGTCAGTGTCAGTGTTAATAGTGTCAGTGTCATCAGTGACAGTGTCAGTGTCACCAGTGTCAGTGCCACCAGTGTCAGTGCCATCAGTGTCAGTGCCATCAGTGACAGTGTCATCAGTGACAGTGCCATCAGTGTCAGTGTCATCAATGTCAGTGACGTTAGTGTCATCAGTGTCAGTGTCATCATTGTCATCATTGTCAGTGTCACCAGTGTCAGTGTCATCAGTGTCAGTAGTTACAGTGTCATCAGTGTCAGTGTCATCAGTGTCAGTGACGTTTGTGTCACCAGTTTCAGTGCCACAAGTGTCAGTGCCACCAGTGTCAGTGCCATCAGTGTCAGTGTCACCAGTGTCAGTAGTGACAGTGTCATCAGTGTCAGTGTCATCAGTGTCACCAGTTTCAGTGCCACCAGTGTCAGTGTCATCAGTGTCAGTAGTGACAGTGTCATCAGTGTCAGTGTCACCAGTGTCAGTGACGTTTGTGTCATCAGTGTCAGTGTCGTCAGTGTCACCAGTTTCAGTGCCACCAGTGTCAGTGTCATCAGTGACAGTGCCATCAGTGTCAGTGTCGTCAGTGTCATCATTGTTAGTGTCATCAGTGTCAGTGTCACCAGTGTCAGTGCCATCAGTGTCAGTGTCATCAGTGTCAACGACCTCATGGTAATGGTGTCAATAGAATCAGGAAGCTGGGCTTCACAGAAGGCTAAAGAATTATGCATGATTCTCAGGCCCTTTCAAGATTATAAACTTTCGACAATATCATTTCAAGTAAGGAAAGTGAGGTTCCTAACACTCGGTCTCACCTTTGTTGTACAAAAGCACCTTGTAATACGAGTGCTGTATGACAAATACACTGACTTCTGGCTGTAGACAACATGTCACTCATTGGAGGAATGCTGCATCGCTGAAACACACAGGTAAGGTTGTAGCCTCAACAGCAATAAGCAATCAGTTCCAAGCTGAAAAATACATACCACTATCAATTCTGCAAAGTTTTGCATGGAAAACACACATGTAACTTAGAAAGACATTTGTGTAAATGGATGTACTCATGTGGGGAATTGACCCCAGGGTGTTGAGCATTTTAAGTTCTAGAAGGTTGTTCGGGTAGAAAACAAGCAATATATCTCTAAAACATTGTTTACTGTACTTTAACATGTCAAGCATACACAGCTTGCTATCATCATCCTACTTAAATCCTCTCCTCTCTCCCCCTTGTCACACAGTCAACAGGTAGACAGTCTTACCTTTGGGGCAGTCCTCTCCTCCTTGTCACACAGTCAACAGGTAGACAGTCTTACCTTTGGGGCAGTCCTCCCCCCCTTGTCACACAGTCAACAGGTAGACAGTCTTACCTTTGGGGCAGTCCTTTTTCTCCCTCCTCCTTGTAACACAGTCAACAGGAAGACAGTCTTACCTTGGGGGCAGTCCTCTCCTCTCTCCTCCTTGTCACACAGTCAACAGGAAGACAGTCTTACCTTGGGGGCAGTCCTCTCCTCTCCCCTCCTTGTCACACAATCAACAGGAAGACAGTCTTACCTTGGGGGCAGTCCTCTCCTCCTTGTAACACAGTCAACAGGAAGACAGTCTTACCTTGGGGGCAGTCCTCTCCTCCTTGTAACACAGTCAACAGGAAGACAGTCTTACCTTGGGGGCAGTCCTCTCCTCCTTGTAACACAGTCAACAGGTAGACAGTCTTACCTTGGGGGCAGTCCTCTCCTCCTTGTCACACAGTCAACAGGTAGACAGTCTTACCTTGGGGGCAGTCCTCTCCTCCTTGTAACACAGTCAACAGGAAGACAGTCTTACCTTGGGGGCAGTCCTCTCCTCCTTGTAACACAGTCAACAGGTAGACAGTCTTACCTTGGGGGCAGTCCTCTCCTCCTTGTCACACAGTCAACAGGTAGACAGTCTTACCTTGGGGGCAGTCCACTCCTTGTCACACAGTCTAATAGGTAGACAGTCTTACCTTGGGGGCAGTCCTCTCCTCCCCCCTCCTTGTCACACAGTCAACAGGTAGACAGTCTTACCTTGGGGGCAGTCCACTCCTTGTCACACAGTCTAATAGGTAGACAGTCTTACCTTGTGGGCAGTCCTCTCCTCCCTCTTCCTTGTCACAGTCAACAGGTAGACAGTCTTACCTTGGGGGCAGTCCCCTCCTGTCCCCTCCTTGTAACACAGTCAACAGGTAGACAGTCTTACCTTGGGGGCAGTCCTCTCCTCTCCCCTCCTTGTCACACAGTCAACAGGTAGACAGTCTTACCTTGGGGGCAGTCCTCTCCTCTCCCCTCCTTGTCACACAGTCAACAGGAAGACAGTCTTACCTTGGGGGCAGTCCTCTCCTCCTTGTCACACAGTCTAATAGGTAGACAGTCTTACCTTGGGGGCAGTCCTCTCCTCCCTCCTCCTTGTCACACAGTCAACAGGAAGACAGTCTTACCTTGGGGGCAGTCCTCTCCTCCTTGTCACACAGTCTAATAGGTAGACAGTCTTACCTTGGGGGCAGTCCTCTCCTCCCTCCTCCTTGTCACACAGTCAACAGGTAGACAGTCTTACCTTGGGGGCAGTTCTCTCCTCTCCCCTCCTTGTCACACAGTCAACAGGTAGACAGTCTTACCTTGGGGGCAGTCCTCTCCTCTCCTCTCCTTGTCACACAGTCAACAGGTAGACAGTCTTTCCTTGGGGGCAGTCCACTCCTTGTCACACAGTCAACAGGTCGACTGTCTTACCTTGGGGGCAGTTCTCTCCTCTCCCCTCCTTGTCACACAGTCAACAGGTAGACAGTCTTACCTTGGGAGCAGTCCTCTCCTCTCTCCTCCTTATCACACAGTCTAACAGGTAGACAGTCTTACCTTGGGGGCAGTCCTCTCCTCTCCTCTCCTTGTCACACAGTCAACAGGTAGACAGTCTTTCCTTGGGGGCAGTCCACTCCTTGTCACACAGTCAACAGGTCGACTGTCTTACCTTGGGGGCAGTTCTCTCCTCTCCCCTCCTTGTCACACAGTCAACAGGTAGACAGTCTTACCTTGGGAGCAGTCCTCTCCTCTCCTCTCCTTGTCACACAGTCAACAGGTAGTCAGTCTTACCTTGGGGGCAGTCCACTCCTTGTCACACAGTCAACAGGTAGACAGTCTTACCTTGGGAGCAATCCTCTCCTCTCTCCTCCTTATCACACAGTCAACAGGTAGACAGTCTTACCTTGGGAGCAGTCCTCTCCTCTCTCCTCCTTATCACACAGTCTAACAGGTAGACAGTCTTACCTTGGGGGCAGTCCTCTCCTCTCCTCTCCTTGTCACACAGTCAACAGGTAGACAGTCTTTCCTTGGGGGCAGTCCACTCCTTGTCACACAGTCAACAGGTCGACTGTCTTACCTTGGGGGCAGTTCTCTCCTCTCCCCTCCTTGTCACACAGTCAACAGGTAGACAGTCTTACCTTGGGAGCAGTCCTCTCCTCTCCTCTCCTTGTCACACAGTCAACAGGTAGTCAGTCTTACCTTGGGGGCAGTCCACTCCTTGTCACACAGTCAACAGGTAGACAGTCTTACCTTGGGAGCAATCCTCTCCTCTCTCCTCCTTATCACACAGTCAACAGGTAGACAGTCTTACCTTTGGAGCAGTCCTCTCCTCTCTCCTCCTTATCACACAGTCAACAGGTAGACAGTCTTACCTTGGGGGCAGTCCTCTCCTCCACTGCTACTCTGTCATAACAATCTAACAGGTAGTTCAGCATGTCTACTTCTTTACATTTGGCAAGAGGAAATTTTTCTGAGAATTCTCTATTGAAGTGTTCTGGAGACATCATCGGACTTATACTGCAAGTTGGAAATAAAACAGATTCTATACCAGCATGTCATGGTGAAACTGATTGAGACCGGGGAGTTACCATACAGAATGCCGTAAATGATAGCATATATACAAATTACAAACAGTGTTTGCAAGACATACACAGCCCTTGCACTTTCATTTCTAGAAGGCCCCAGTAAACATCACATACCACAATGGCTTTCAGTCTGATACCATAACACATGTTTCAGGGACATACACATCTACAGCCTCAATCTACATGGAAGGACAAACACATGCCCAATCAAGTACAATTTTACATCAGAAAGTTCTATGGATATCCAGGTTTACAACCTCTTCCCTCAATTTCACATGGCTTATTTCCAGCTGGAAACACAGAGTGCCAGCCCTTGCAAGCATGTCCTACCACGGGCTGGATCAGTACACAAACAAGCACCAGTCAATGAAAGTGCATATGCATCACCACCTCACCACTTCAATGCCCCACCCAAAGGATGACATATATATACTAAAGTAGACGTTTCTTGAGCTGCCATGAACATAATACAGTTTGAGTGTCTGGCTTTGTGAGTAAATTTGACCTTCACTATCACATAGAACAGATTCAAGAACAATCCTAAGGGTATAGAGCAAAACAACCAAATATGGTGTCCCTTGGCATAATTCAATGAAAACACAATTGTGCTATTCATTGAAAGTAGGTCATCAACATGATCAAGACCAACTATTGGCCGGATAACACTGTCATCACTGGCAAATCATCAACTACTACAAGTAAAGTAAGATATATGGTTGAAAAACGTCTGTATTACAATTGTAAAAACTTCTAAATGCCTCTCAAAGAGGTTAACCACTTCAAGTATCAGATTAAACCACATCTACAGGAAAATGTGGACAAGGAACAAGGAATGATCACTACCATGGCACTGACCTTATTGTTATATAGCTGACTGTATTGTTACATAGCTGACTCACAACTATTCCTAATCATTGACCTTATTGTTATATAGCTGACTGTATTGTTATATAGCTGACTCACAACTATTCCTAATCATTGACCTTATTGTTATATAGCTGACTCACAACTATTCCTAATCACTGACCTTATTGTTATGTAGCTGACTGTATGTTATATAGCTGACTCACAACTATTCCTAATCACTGACCTTATTATTATATAGCTGACTGTATTGTTATATAGCTGACTCACAACTATTCCTAATCACTGACCTTATTGTTATATAGCTGACTGTATTGTTATAAAGCTGACACAACTATTCCTAATCACTGACCTTATTGTTATATAGCTGACTGTATTGTTATAAAGCTGACACAACTATTCCTAATCACTGACCTTATTGTTATAAAGCTGACTCACAACTATTCCTAATCACTGACCTTATTGTTATGTAGCTGACTGTATGTTATATAGCTGACTCACAACTATTCCTAATCACTGACCTTAATGTTATATAGCTGACTCACAACTATTCCTAATCATTGACCTTATTGTTATATAGCTGACTCACAATTATTCCTAATCATTGACCCAACTGTTATATAGCTGACTCACAACTATTCCTAATCATTGACCTTGTTATATAGCTGACTCACAACTATTCCTAATCACTGACCGTATTGTTATATAGCTGACTCACAATTCCTAATCATTGACCGTATTGTTATATAGCTGACTCACAACTATTCAAAATCACTGACCTTATTGTTATATAGCTGACTAACAACTATTCCTAATCATTGACCGTATTGTTATATAGCTAACTCACAACTATTCCTAATCAATGACCCAACTGTTATATAGCTGACTCACAACTATTCCTAATCATTGACCTTGTTATATAGCTGACTCACAACTATTCCTAATCACTGACCGTATTGTTATATAGCTGACTCACAACTATTCCTATTGTTTCAAAGTGTGACGTGGTCAGATTATTACATCAGTGTGGAGACTCCAGGTGAATACACAGATCCCCAGCCACCTGGTGTCATACAAGGCGACTCAATGGATCGGGTGGTCAGACTTGCTTGATTACATGTCATTCTAATCTTATTACAGTCAAATTAATCCCACATAGTTGGTTGCATATGATTATGTTGGATAAACAAAAATAAGTTGTATCAACCTTTGTAATCGAAAATCGGACAACCACACTATAGATAATGATACAAACACGTAATATAAAAAAATGAAAAAATGAAATATTCATATTGTTTGATACGTTGTTAGCAGAATATGTTTTCTTATCATGCAACCTCTGAAGCTTAACACAAAACTACTATCAACTGATTCAAAAAAATTTTGAAAGAATAGTCTGGAATGGGAGTCGCCAGTTTGAAACTAGTGCCGCAGAGCTCAAGAAAGCAGCTTTCTTAGTGGCTAATGTAGGCTTCCTGTTAGTCATTTCATTGGTCAGTCAAAATTCCCTGTAATGGGATGTCTTCAGCGGTTGCGAGAACTTGTATCTGATTTTATGAGATTGAGGTAATCTTAGCATGTGGTTTTTTTTATATCCTGTTTTGTTTATTCAAAGCATTAATTGTTTATTGTTAAGCAAGTCTTTCTCTGCAGCCGTTGTAATATGCAGCTACCAGCCGACTCGTTTCGCATCAAAACACGTAGCTGTGTTCTCGCAAGCAGATGACCACAGAGTATGCTGATCACTTGTCGCATTAACAAGACTGATTAACGTCGGATTAACGGGTCTAAATAGCACCGATTTAATTGGTTCCCATCATTTGTGTCGGACAAAGCCGACTGTCGGATCAACGAGACTTGACTGTACATGGATTGGTGCACATGATGTCAATCACTTGATTGTCTGGTCCAGACGATTTTATTTACAGACCATTGTCATATATTCCTGAGCCTGGTGTTAAAAAATAAACAAAAAGCTTAATAATTATGATAGGCAGAAAATAATCAAGAATATTCAAGACCAATGAGTTCCATGTTATCTTTAGTTCAACTGGTGTACTCTTTCATCTATGACCATGTTTAAGGCACAGGGTTTTTACACCCATCAATTTAATTTAATCTCTGAACTGCCATGTTCACAATAACAACAAGCTTCACACTTGAGACATTCACAGATGCACGGCATCATGTCACATTATCAGATATGCACTAATTCATCCCAAAATGGAAAATTCTGTTCCAAAACATGACTATGTTTCAATTCATAAACATGCACTGTCCATCGATAAGTTTCCACATTACACTGAGTGAGTGAGTTGGGTTAAACGCTTCTTTGAACAGTATTCGAGATATATCACGGCATGTCAAAAGCCCAAAGTGATGCAGGCCTTAGACGTTTACCACTTAGGTGAAACCCACAAGCATGGTGCTGACACCACATTACCATGACTACAGCTTGCTGGGCCAAAACAAACAGCCTCAGGCCATCAAGCATCAGTGAAACACTCTGACATGATCATTTTCTGTTCTATATTTCAATCTGTGTAAACATTCTACAGAAAAGAACAAATCTCGCTGCCTGCACACACTTGTGTTTCAAACTTTAATAACTGAGGACCAACTTTCTTTCTGTTGTGGAGTGTAGTTAGGAGAACATAATGACAATATATTGGCCAGTCAAGCACATCTCCATACCCTTACAATACCACACCTTGAAACCACAATGGTACCACCAAAAACCTGTAGCTGCTGCTGCTTACCTTCTTGGGCTGCTGCTGTAGGACTTGAGGGGGGACAGAGCTGGGGGATGTGTGCGTAACAACAGCACAGGGTTCTCCTGGCTGTCCCTCATCAGCATGAGAACCTCCATGAGCACCTGGCTGACAACGTCACTATAGTCAATGTTACCCCCACTACATGCCTCGTCTACCACCTCCACTAACTGAGGCAAATGAAGAGTTTCACACGATTTCTCTCTCCAGGAAGTCACAAACACACGACTGACAGCCGATAACACTTGTTCCTCACTTGCTTCAGATCCAAAGCTGACATCCTGGAAATTGACAAAGTGCTGATTGATATTATTTCAAGTATTCACCTGTCTACTTCATGTGTGATGCCTGTGACATAACAATGATATAGAGCGCAGACAATATCTGAACCTACCGCCAATGTAACGTGATCAGTAAACACAAATGTCAGACTCAGAAAAAGAATACCAGTACACTCTCGGGACCCACAACAATAGTCTTAGTACCTACAGCGCATCATGGGCAGTTTTGGTCATCTGTCGTCATATCCACCAGTCATGACCAATGTCCACATGATTCATTCCAGGCTCCAAAGTAATTATCAAATCCTACAGTACATGATACCACTTCACTACTTTACAGGACCCTCATAATGCCCGCAAGGACACTTACCATTGTGTTAGTGAAGGTAAAACCCTGATGTGGTCATGACAACTAAGCCAGGAACAGAGTGACCAGGGGCTGACAGAGTGACAACAACCCACACCATTATTACCATGATTACACCATTATAAACAAGATGGCGAGGCCTGTTGCTCTTTTAACATGTCCTAGTCATTGCTAGAAGAGGTGTTTTTTGGCACTGTATAGTAGAATATACCCTCTGAATTTTGGTTATTATACTTATTCTTATTTACATGAAGATTAAAGAGAAACAATTATCTAAAAATATATGGTCAAACATTTATCATTCTTGAATGCTTTTTGTTTAACAACCAGTGATTAATCTTGAAAGCCCTACCAATCCCAGCTCTATCGTGGTTATTGTGATCATGAAACATTGTTTGTTCTTTAACGATGCACTCAGCAATATTCCAGCTATATGACGGTGGTATGTAAATAATCGAATCTGTACCATGAGCATAAATCTACACAAATGGGATACGATGGCATGCATCAACCAAATCAGACAGCCTGACCACCCGATCCTCTTAGTCGCCTCTTATGACAAGCATAGTTGCCTCTTAAGGCAAGCATGGGTTGCTGAAAACGGTCCTGAAATAAAACTATTCCTTGTCAAGTCAATTCTTATATACATTGAAACTGAAGCAAGTTTTCGCAGTTACCCTTTTCCTCTTGATTTCAGGTCTGGGTTCTGGTTCTTCGACCTCCATTGTCTCGATGCCAGAATCCACATCCATCTGAGACTGGGAGCTACAAACACAGACACACACTCAGTATCTAGGTAACACACACCAGACACACTCGACATCCAGGTAACACACACAAGACACACTCGACATCCAGGTAACACACACCAGACACACTCAACATCCAGGTAACACACACAAGACACACTCGACATCCAGGTAACACACACAGACACACTCAACATCTAGGTAACACACAGACACACTCAACATCTAGGTAACACACACAGACACACTCAACATCTAGGTAACACACACAGACACACTCAACATCTAGGTAACACACACAGACACACTTAACATCTAGGTAACACACACAGACACACTCAACATCTAGGTAACACACACAGACACACTTAACATCTAGGTAACACACACAGACACACTCAACATCTAGGTAACACACACCAGACACACTCGACATCCAGGTAACACACACAAGACACACTCGACATCCAGGTAACACACACCAGACACACTCAACATCCAGGTAACACACACAAGACACACTCGACATCCAGGTAACACACACAGACACACTCAACATCTAGGTAACACACAGACACACTCAACATCTAGGTAACACACACAGACACACTCAACATCTAGGTAACACACACAGACACACTCAACATCTAGGTAACACACACAGACACACTCAACATCCAGGTAACACACACAGACACACTCAACATCCAGGTAACACACACAGACACACTCAACATCTAGGTAACACACACAGACACACTCAACATCCAGGTAACACACACAGACACACTCAACATCCAGGTAACACACACAAGACACACTCAATATCTAGGTAACACACACAGACACACTCAACATCCAGGTAACACACACAAGACACACTCAATATCTAGGTAACACACACAGACACACTCAACATCCAGGTAACACACACAGACACACTCAACATCCACGTAACACACACAGACACACTCAACATCTAGGTAACACACACAGACACACTCAACATCTAGGTAACACACACAGACACACTCAACATCTAGGTAACACACACAGACACACTCAACATCTAGGTAACACACACAGACACACTTAACATCTAGGTAACACACACAGACACACTCAACATCTAGGTAACACTCACAGACACACTCAACATCCAGGTAACACACACCAGACACACTCAACATCCAGGTAACACACCAGACACACTCAACATCCAGGGACACAAACTATAACACTGTGCATAACCTTTTAAGATTAATTGGGAAATTTGTAATTCCAATATTGGAATGTTTAACTGATATTTGTTGCAGACATGGGGCAGGCTTGGGTTCAATATCAGACTCTGAGTTGCCACCCAACTTTTCACTGATTTTGTGTATGGAGTCAAAATTAAATTTTACTGATGTGTCTCCAGATGTTTCACTATCATAGAACTCTCTAGATCAACAGGTTGACTGTGCCAACATCTGATAATGCTCATGACATGAGGAATAAGACCACGTATCCCCAGTACTATGTGTATTATTACTACAATTACCATGCATCGGTGAATCACAACTTTTAAATTCACGATACAAGTATAAATCACCGTGGAACACTTAGTCTAAAATATCAATACATACCTAAAATGTTTGCTGTAAAAACTGTTACACTAAACACGAAATAGCATGACCAGGAGTGAAAAACAGTAGTGAAAACATAAATATTTTCATCCATTGCACCATACTTGACACTGCCAACTGTGAATTGTCAGTGTACCAGGTATTTGCGAATCATGTCTATGAAAAAGATGGCTTACGCACCACAGATAAGAGCACATGCAAGTACAATGACACTTGTGAACAAAGTATCGCGATACTTATTGGATCGCAGTTGATGTATCGACCCAGCCCTAATTATTACACTAATGCTGACAAGAAATTATCAGTAGACACCTGTTAGTCAACATGGATACTGTTGTGGGAGAAGTTTTTTTCTTTTGTTTGTTTGTTTGTTGTTTAATGCCACACTAAGCAATATTCCAGCTATATGACGGCAGCCTGAAAATAATTGAGTCTGGACCAGACAATCCAGTGATTGACATCATGAGCATCGATTTACGCAATTGGGATACGATGATATGCATCAACCATGTCATCGAGTCTGACCATGTGATCCCATTAGTTGCCTATTACGACAAAGCAACCCATGCTTGCCGTAAAAGGCGACTCTGCTTGTCGTAAGAGGCAACTAACGGGATCGGATGGTCAGACATGTCATCGATCCTAATTGCGTGGATCAATGCTTATGATGTCATTCACTGGATTGTCGGGTCCAGACTCAATTATTTACAGACCATCGTCATATAGCTGGAATATTGCTGCGTGCAGCTTAAAACAACAAACCAACCAACCTTACGACAAGCAATAGGTCCTAAAGACCTATGCTAACCAAGATCTTCACAGGTCACTTTACTTTTCAATTGCTGTTGCTACAGTGGTCAGTCACCCTAGGACCTGAATCTTTGCTGCCTGGGACCCCCAAAACCATGACTGAGACTCTCCACAACTCACAAATAAAAGGGGCTGGCTGGGTAGAACCCTGTTAAATATCAAAAATGACAAAAATCCTACTTTTTTTCGGAGCAAAATTCGGTGTCCATGTCCATGGTCTGAGGAGTAGCTGCTGGGCAATCAACACCAAGGCTGCCAGATGAGGATGCTGTACTTTGAGATGACTGCTGGCTCTCAGAGCCCTGCTGCATGGGTGATGCTTGACTAGCTTCATTCCTTTCTACAGGACTGGACTGGTTGCCTCCAAGGCGGGCAAGGCGTCTCCTCCGAATCTGGAATGGCAAACACGCTGACATTCCCATTTCATGTGTATTTGCAAATTATTGCAAAACTATATGACAACAGCAGTGATAGAAACAGTTTTAGTCCACTAGTTCTTTTATGATAACATATAGCAAAACTCTTAAAAAGGTCAAATCTCTACTATTCCTAATGATATCTTAAGTATTGGGCAGTTTGGCAAGGACAATAGGACTAATGCCAATTTCTATCACTGAATGCTTATCCTACACACAGTTTCAGATGACAGAGATTCCCTGAACTACAAATAGGCATA